ACAAGCCAAAAGAAAGTGAAGTTATATCTTTAAAGTGCTGTATGTGTGTCAAATTGTCAACCTAGAATTGTATACACAGCCAAAAACAAACAAACAAGCTTTCGAAACTGAAGGTAAAATAGACTTTATCAGACAAACCAAAGCTGATAGACTTCATTGCCGTAAGATCTTCCTCATAAGAAATGTTACAAGACGTTCTTCAAGCAGAAGAAAAAGAACACCATATAGAAATATGTATCTAACACAAAGGAAGAAAGAGCAACAGTAAAACTAAGTTTGTGGGTAACTGTAAAAGAGTTTTCAGGGACTTCCCTGGTGGTGTGTTGGATAAGAATGCGCCTGCCAATGCAGGGGACATGGGTCCGATCCCTGGTCCAGGAAGATCCCACATGCTGCGGAGCAACTAAGCCCATGTGCCACAACTACTGAAGCCTGCAGGCCTAGAGTCCATGCACTGCAATGAAGAGTAGCCCCGGCTCACCACAACTAGAGAAAGCCCACGCGCAGCAGCAAAGACCCAACGTAGCCAAAAAAAAAAAAAAAATTAAATTAAATCAAAAAGCAAAGGGAGAATGAAAACAAATCCAAGGGGGGAAAAAAAAGGCTTTTCATCCTAATTTTTAAAAACTTTTAAAATTTAAATTGTGGTAAAATACACATAACATAAAATTTATCATCTTAAACATTTTTAAGTGGACAATTCAGTAGTGTTAAGTACTTTCACATTGTTATGCACTCAATCTCCAGAATGCTTTTCATCTTGTAAAACTGAAACTCTGTCTATTAAATATCCATTAAACAGCAATTCCTCATTTCCCCCTGTCCCCAGCCTCTGGCAACCACCATTCTATTTTCTATCTCTGTGAGTCTGACTACCCGAGGTACCTCACATAAGTGAAATACAACAGTATTGTCTTTCTATGACTGGCTTATTTCACTTAGTATAATGTCCTCAAGGTTCACCCACACCGTAGCATCTGTCAGAACTTCCCCTCTTTTTAAGGCTGAATAATATTCCATTCCATGTATATACCATATTTTATCTTTTCATCAGTTGACAGACTCTTGGATTGCTTTGGCTATTGTGAATAATGCTGCTATGAACATGGATGTGCAAATACCTCTTTGAGACCCTGCTTTCATTTCTTTTGGGTATAAACCCAAAAGTAGAATTGCTGGGTCATACAGTAATTCTACTTTCAGTTTTTCAGTAATTCTACTTAAAAGCAGTTTTCTACATACTGCTTTCCACAGTGGCTGCACCACCAATTTACACCGTCACCAGCAGTGCACAGGGTTCTGATTTCTCCACATCCTTGTCAACACTTGCTATTTTCTGCTTTTTTGATAGCAGCCACCCTAATGAGTGTGAGGTAGTATCTCACTGTGGTTTTTTTGTTTTGTTTTGGTTTTTTGGCTGTGTTGGGTCTTCGTTGCTGTCCGCCGGCTTTCTCTAGTTGCGGCGAGTAGGGGCTACTCTTGGTTGAGGTGAGCAGGCTTCTCATTGCAGTGGCTTCTCTTGTTGCAGAGCATGGACTCCAGGCACATGGGCTTCAGTAGTTGTGGCACGTGGGCTCAGTAGTTGTGGCACCCGGGCTTAGCTGCTCCGCAGCATGTGGGATCTTCCTGGACCAGGGCTTGAACCCGTGCCCCTTGCATTGGCAGGCAGATTCTTAACCACTGCACTACCAGGGAAGCCCTCTCATTGTGGTTTTGATTTGCATTTCCCCAATGACTAATTATATTGAGCATTTTTTCATGTGCTTGTTGGCTATTTGTATATCATCTTAGGAGAAATGTCTATTTGAATCCTTCACCCATTTGTTGTTGTTGTTGAGTTGTAGGAGTTCTTTATATATTCTGGATATTAACACCACATCAGATGTATGATGTGCAAATACCTTCTCCCATTCTGTAGGTTGCCTTTTTCTGCTCATTTTTAATTCACTTTAAATAATTAACTGTTTAAAACAAAAATAAATAACAGCGTTGTGTGGGTTTATAATACATAAATGTAAAATATGACAAAAAATAGCACAAAGGGCGGAAGGGGAATTGGAAGTCTACTGTTCTAAGGTTCATAAGCTCTAAGCGAAGTGCTATAATATTATTTAAAAGTAGATTATAAATCAACAATGTATATTGTAAGCTCTAGAATAATCATGAAAAACATAAAACAAAGAGGCATAGCTATTAAACCAACAGTTTTATTTTATGGTAAAATAAAACACACTCAATTAATCCAAAAGGAGGCAGGAACAGAAAGGGAAAAAAGAAACTAGCAGAAAACTCATAGCAAGATGGTAAATTTAAGCCAAACCGCACTGATGATTACATTAAATATAAACAGTATAAACATTCCAGTAAAAGGCAGGCATTGTCAGATTGGATAAAAAAAGCAAGACTTCCATTATGTGTTGTCTGCAAGAAACGCTCTCTAATTATAAAGAAACAGATAGGTTAAATGTAAAAGGAGGGACTGCTGCCAACCACACCTCTAAGATCCAACTTCTCTGATGCTCAAGGGTATAAACATACAAACTCCTTCTCCACCAGAAAATGTAAAAGAATAGAAAAACATATACCATGATGAAACTAACTTTTAAAAGGCTGGAGTGGTTATATTAATATCAAACAAAGAAGATTTCAGAACAAGGATTATTACCAGTGAAAAAGGGACATTTCAGAAAAATGAAGGAATCTATTCAGCAAGGGGCTACAATCCTAAATGTGTATGCACTAAATGGCAGAGCTTCAAAATATATCGAAGCAAAAACTGATAACTGGAGAATTCAATATCCCTCTGTTAGTAACTGACCATATGTGGAATCTAAAAATAAAATGATACACTTAACCACTGTACCACCAGAGAAGTCCCGGGAAAGACTCCTTAGATAAAACATCAAAAGCAGGGCTTCCCTGGTAAGCCCTCTAAGCCTTCCCTTCCCTCTAAACCTACTAGAACGGCTAAAATTAAAAAGATTGATGTCAGGGATATAAAACAACTAAAACTCTTACACTTTGCTGGCAGGAAAGCAAAACAGTATAGTCACTTTGGAAAACAGTTTGGCAAATTCTTATGCAGTGAAGCATACATCCTCTACACAAATGTTTATGTTGGCTTTACTTACAATAGCTAAAAACTGGAATTAACCCAAATGTCTTTTGACTGTTGAATAGATAAACAACATACAATGTTATGCCCATATAATGGAATACTATTCAGCAATAAAAAGGAACAAGCAACTGCTACCCACATGTGTGAATCCCAAATGCATTATACTAAACAAAAGAGGCAGACTCAAAAGGCTACTATATGATCCATTTATATGACATTCTGGAAATACTACAGGGACAGTAGTTGTCAGGGCCTGGGGGTCAAGGGAGGGGTTAACTGCAAAGAAGCATGAAGGAACTTTTGGGGGTGATGTTGGACGTGTTCTATTAACTGTTACGGTGGTTGCACAAAGGTATTATCAAAACTCATACAACTATACTAATATGTAGATTTTACTGTATGTAAACATTAAACCTCAACAAATCTTTAATAAAATTATGACACCTCCAAACAATTATAATATTATGCAATCATTTAATATATGAGATGAATCCATATATGCTGGTAATAGGATAAACTCTAAGACATATTGTTAGGAGTAAAAAGCAAGATACAGTACAACAAATACAGTATGTTCCTATTTATGGTAATATTGGCTGTCTCTGGGATCTGGAGTAGGAATATATACCCTTTTGTACTGTTTGAGTTTTTTTTCCCCACATGCTTGTACTACTTTCAATTAGAAAACCCATACACAGGTCCAGGAAAACTCACACGTGTCTGGCCCAGGGACCTGAGCAATGTAGGTCTGAGAAAACCCATGCAAGAATATGGAACATGGTGCCAGACACTTAAGAAGTGCTCAGTAAATAGCTGGGGGAAGCAAAACATTGGAATCACGTCAGAAGGCAGACCCCAGACAAAGGGATCTCTAACTGAACACCAGATATTCAGCCAGCAGAGCCTCCTGTTTTATACGAGGAGCTAAGCTTGGATTGCTGACATTAGGAAAGAAAAGGAGCATAAAATCCAAATATCCTGGATTTGCTCTTGGGCAAGCTGTTTGCCAGCATTCCTTTGCAAGCACACCGTGTGCCCTAACCTCAGCCTTCTAAGGGATGGGGTGCACACCCTTCCACCCGTGAACACAGCCCACCCCAAGAGGCCACCCCTAGGGCTCCTCTGGTGGTCCGAGTGCTACATCCTGACTCCCAGAGGTCCCGAGCAGCCCCTCCTACATCCCCTCCAAGTCAGATAGCCCTATAACTCTCTGAAGGAACAAAACGACCCCAAGGGTCTCACTGCACTCGGACCACAGACAAGACGATCGCAGCATGTCAAGCTCTTTTCCACACCAAGGTTTCAGGAAAGAAAACCCGAAAGGAAAAGGCGGATAAGCAAGCAAGGCCTCTCAGTGGAATTGGGTGAAAGGATCTCCCAGGGTTTGGCACAGCTTCTTTCAGCAGCTCCTATCAAGGAAATCAGGAACTCTAGAACGCCAGCCTCAGAAACTCCTCTTTATTTCCTGCTTTATTTGGATTTGCCTCCCTGAAGCCAGGTAGCTGGTCCTAGCTTCCAAAAAAGACTACAAGCTTCTGTGCTGTGAAGCGTTGTCTGGCCGCCTCTGGATACCTGGCTTCCAAGGGGAACCACGTAGGTTCTACCTCGTCTCTTTCCTCCACAGAAGTGAGCTGTGCTGGCAGGTACAAGCTCTGAGAGGAAGACGGGGGTAAGGTGTAGCAAGGGCCTAGAGCGGGACTGGAGTAGGAACCAACCAAAAGCCTGTCTTTCCAGGCACCCACAGACTCAAGGACACAGGAGGAAAGGTACCACAGAATCTCATTTTCTCGGAGGCACACCACTTGCCACACGGGGCAGGGTGTCTGAGTCCTGGGCCATGGACCAGGCTATCCAGGTGATGGGAAGAAACAGGAGCACTTACCGGGGGAAGATAGCAGTCATCAAGGCTGAAGCATAGCCAGGCTTGCAAGTTCCCTCTGAAAAGTTTGCGTACTTGGTGGCTAACTCAGCAGGCCTATAGGAAGAGAAAGAGAGTCACGGCTTGCCAGGCACATGGGCAGTGGTTAGTAGTTCATGAAGAGCTGTAGGTGTTTAAACCCTGAACAAAGCTTCACTCCATACAATCAGCACTTCAGCCCCTCTTCCACACCAAGGCCCTGGAGGTGGGGGTAAGGGGGAGGAGCCAAGAAACCCTAAAGGAATAGGTGGATGAACAAGCAAGGCCCGGCAGTGGAATTTGGTAAAAAGAGCTCACTGGGTTTTGCATAGATTCTTTGCAGTAAAGCCAGATTCCAGGGAGATCAGGAACTCCATCCAGGCTCCCAGACTGGGAGAGTAGAGCCTGGAGACCGAAGGAGAGAGCCGCCAGACTTTGATAAAGTCACAGGCACTGCCCTTTCAACTTTCCTGAATATTTCTACATGTCCAGCCTCATCTGCCTCTATTCTCCCCACACACACTATGATCCAGCCAGTGGGAACCACTCACAGTGCCCTGAAGAGAGATCAAATACATGTTGGGGCGTTTAGTCACGGAGGCGCTCCTGCTCTCCTGTCCTCTGTGCCTGGAATGTTCTTCCTTGTCCTTCTTCGCCTGCCTGTGCCTCCCGGTCCTTCACAACTCAGCTCAGATGTCAATTTCTCTGGGCATAACTCCCTGACCCCCAGATTGGGCCAAGTGCCTCCCTGCGCTCACTGTCCACCCCCTGCCACCCGCGTTACATGATTGCCCAGCACTCGCTGTACGGAACTGCAATCGTCGGTAGTGTGTCTCCCTCACTGCACTGTAAATTCCCAAGGTCGGGGTCTGATTTAACCCTGTACCCCCAGTTCTTTGCACAGAGATGGGCACATAGAAGACTCTTATGATTTTCTGAAGGAACAAAACGGCCCTGACAACCTCACTACACTTGGACTGGACATAAGACAATCTCAGGAGCCCATAAGTCAGAAAGCACTATTTTTCAGAAGGCTTGTGAGTTCTAGCCCTGGCTTTGCTGCTGTGTGACTGTAGTGAAGTCACCTCATATCTCTGGGCTTCAGTGTCCATATGTGTTCAGTGTGCAGCTGGAGTCACAGCCCTGCCACCAAAAACCCTGCCCAGTGCAGTCTAGAGAAGACCACAGCGGAAGAACAAGACACATTCAGTGACTGCTGGGGCTGGAGGCCCTGCGTGCTGGGGCACCTGAAGGAGCCCTGGCTCGTTACCAGTTCCCAGTCCCAACCACCCCAGTCTCCACCCTTGGGCCAGCTGCCAGCCCTCTGATGCCCAGCTGCTCTGCTGTGCTGGGGCCCTGTGGTGAGTCTTCCCCCAGGGCTGCCTTCTGCAGGGGCGGGGGCGGGGTGGGTCCAGGGTAGGGGAGACTGGTGCCTGTACAGGACAGCCAGAAACCATGATGCCACCGCCTATCATGCGTCATGTGTGATTCACTCAGTGCCCTGTTGAGCCTAGCCCAGGGCCTTATACAGAGTCACTGCTCACTGAATTTAGACAAGCCCATCTGTATCTATGTGCAATTTCTTCTAAAAAATCTACATTTTTTTAGCATTCCCTACCAATGAAATTTAAAGCCTGAAATGCAAATGTAAATACTGAGCGACAAGCCGGAGTTGGGCCTTTATAGGCAGAAGGAAGTCAAGGGTTTAACAAGAGAAATTTACATGACAATATTTTCTTACATAAACAACTGTATTTCAGAAATGAAACATAAACTTCAGTGCAATTACTAGACCTACTGGAAGCTTTTGGACTAGGCAGTAATGAAAACATAGATTTCTTCAATTACCCCTCTCAATAGCCAGGTGAGTAGGTGCCATTAATTATTAATTTACATACAGGCTCAGAAAGATGAAGAGACTTAGTCAGGATCATACAGCTAGTAAGTAGTGGATACTACGTGAAACTATTTCTCTCTAACACAAGTGTAGGAGCTCTTAATTAATTAATTAATTTATTTTTGGCTGTGTTGGGTCTTCGTTTCTGTGCGAAGGCTTTCTCTAGTCGCGGCGAGTGGGGGCCCCTCTTCATCTCAGTGCGCAGGCCTCTCACTGTCGCGGCCTCTCTTGCTGCGGAGCACAGGCTCCAGACGCGCAGGCTCAGTAGTTGTGGCTCACGGGCCTAGTTGCTCCGCGGCATGTGGGATCCTCCCAGACCAGGGCTCGAACCCGTGTCTCCTGCATTGGCAGGCAGATTCTTAACCACTGCGCCACCAGGGAAGCTCAGGAGCTCTTAATATGGCACCGCCCTGGTGTGGATCACAGTCAGTGCCATCACAGAGGGAAGCAGAGAGTCCAGGGACAGCACGAGTGGTCAGTGCAGTTGGAGATGGGGTAGAGAAGCTCTCTGGAAGTGTGTAACAAGCAGCGAGGCATTATGAGTCCCTCATATCCTTGTCTCCAATCCCCCACCCTCCGCTTGCTTGCCTGGTACTGTGGGTTCCTATGGTCTTTCTGAATTCCAGAAAGTTTCACAAAGAAAAGGAAAGATGGATGGTGGTCGTCCCTTTAACATAGTGCGTTGCAGAAATGCACGTAGAAACGCATGTACAACAGCAGACAAACCTTCAGCCACATCTTTCCTCTCTCTAGTGAACACCATCAACTTCTGGCAAAATGCTTCAAGGATCAGGGCTCTAGATGTGCAGCAATATGGATGGACCTGGAGGGCCTTATGCTAAGTGAAATAAGTCAGACAGAGAAAGACAAATATTGTATGATCTCACATATATGTGGAATCTAAAAAATACAACAAACTAGTGACTATAACAAAACAAGAAGTAGACTCACAGATATAGAGAACAAACTTGTGGTTGCCAGCAGGAAGGATGGGGAGGGACAAACCATGGGGTGTGAGACAGGCTCAAGGATGTACTGTACAACATGGGGAATACAGCCAATATTCTGTAATAACTGTAAATGGAAAGTAACCTTTAAAAAATGTATAAAAATGTTTTTAATTAAAAAAATGGGATAGTCCAGGGTCTATGGACTCAGGTAATCCATAATGGAGAAGAAAGAGCACAGGCAAGATGGAACACAGGAAGCCAGAGCCCACCAGGAAAGGCTCTTCCCAGGCCAGTGCAGGGTAGTCAGATATTAAGGATGGAGCAGCTCTAAACCAAACCCCAAGCAACAGCAACTTCTAAAACATCCAGCCCTGGGCACAGTGGGCCATGTCAAGTTATTACCAAATTAAAATGCCTTAGAAATGGCCTCCTGACTATCCCAGTGAGAGAAGAATAGGGGGAGTGTTGGGGATTCTGAGTCATACGGCAGGCTGGGACCTCTGGGGCAGTTAGCGGTCAAAACCACCAAGATTAACAGTCTCCAACTCCCTCGGGCCAGAATAGTTAGTTTCTCTAAGGCGCTCACACTCCAAATGCCAGGAGGCCCCCACAGATGTCTGATCAAATCATTCAGCCCTTGTTCTTCTCATACTCTGCGGCTGGCCTTTCATTCGGGGAGATTTAGCATTTCGACCAGTAAGAGCACCATTGTCCTGCAAACGTGACTACCAAGCGCCTGGGGTGAAGAGTGTAAACCTCTTAAGAGGAAATCCAGATGGAGAGGCTGGCACCTAAAAGAGGGAAGCAGACTTCCACGCCTCTGCTTCACTCAGAAGCCCCAAGTTTAAGGAATCAGGTCAAACAACAGGTTGTAAATGGGAAGAATACAGGACCTGGAATTAGAAGCTTTCATAAAGGACACTGCAAGCTGCGTGACCTTGGGCAAGTGAAGGACAATCTGCTTCTCAGCTTCCTCATCTGCAAATGGGAACCACTCAGCTCTCAGAGATCTTGGAGGGTGTGGTGAAAAAGAACATTTGGAGGGGCTGGCTGTCCTCTAGAGCACCACATAAATACTTCGTGACAGGTGAGGTGGCAGTGGTTTCCAATGCTCAAGTCTGGATTCTGTCCTGGGGAGAGTCACTGAATGATTTCCACTGGGAGAGTGCCCTGATCACCGTGTGCATTTTAAGGATCAACATTTGGGAGGTGAGGAGTAGCATGGCAAAGGGCTGAAAGAAGCAGTCCCTGAGATAGAAAAATAATCAGGAGAGAGTGTGATGTCTCAGGTGCCAAAGGAATGAAGTGTCTCAAGCAGGATGCAGGGACCAACTGCATCAAACACTGTGCTCGGCCTGGGAAGGGAGCCATAAGATTGACAGCTGTATTTGCCAACATGGAGGTTGCTCTTGACTTTGAGTAGAGCTGTTTCACTGGAGTGTGGGGGTGAAATGCTGCTTTCATCGGGTTTCAGAGAAAACAGAAGAATTGGAGCCAGGGAATAGAGACTACCATTTTTAGAAGTTTTGCTATAAAGGGAGACAGAGAAATGGGGCAGTTGCTGGAGGAGAATTGCAGGGAAAGATTTTTTTGAGGTTAGGAAATTTTTCAGCATGCATATAAGCTGGTTAGAATAAGAGGAAAACTCAAGCATGATGCAACAGAAATGGGACAGCTGGAGAAATGTCCCCGAGAAGGTGAGAGAGGGAAAGGATCTACCACAAAAGTAGAAGGGTTGGCCTTAGCTCTGTCTACCCTGCCCTGCCCTGGCCAGTGACTACCTATTCATCTTGCAACGTTCGGATGAAGCACCACTTCCTTTGTGAAACTTTTCCTGATTGCTTCCCCTGCCAAGCAGAACCAACCTCTCCTGCCTGTGGACCCCATTTTACCTAGAGCTGACAGTCACCTGACCTTGCTCACT